ACGACCTTTTTTTTTTTCTTCGTTTTGATTGATTGATTGATGTGAGGGGGGGGGTCACCTCCCCCCCCAGATTACACACACACACACACACACAGAAATGCGCGCGCCCTTTTTTTTCCCCTTTTGATTGACTGATTGATTGATTGATTGATTGATATGAGGGGGGAGGTCGCCTCCCCCCCCCCATTACACACACACACGCACGCAAACACACACACACAAACATACACACTCACGCATGCGGAGCGACTGCCGTTTTTTTTTTGCTACGAGTTTTTTTTTTCTGTTTTTTTTTTATATATATAAATCCTTTCAAACGTCAAAAAATAAAATTAACAACATGTGGTTGTAGGTCTTTCAAGATCTACAACCCATGTTTTTTTTTTTTTTGTTTTTTTTTTTTTGCCCCTAAATCTTTACATCGTCCGTACGCCCGTATGCCTGATCTTCCATGCGTACGGACGGGCCGTACGGAGACCCCCCATACGACGTACGGGGGATGACACTGCACACCAACAATCACACGTGCACACACACACACATACAAACTCACACATACAAACACACACTTACAAATAGACATACTTCTAACACACACTTACAAACACACACATACTTTCGGGTAGGTTTGGGGACAGCAGGATGAGGCGGGAGGCAGGATGGGGAGGGAGGCAGGATGGGGCGGGGGGGGGAAGGGGGGTTGGGGCTCGTAGTGGTTTAGAGGGCTTTAGAGTAGGTGTTACATGCTGCGCCTGCACACGGGCCCCGTTTGAAGGGCCCGACAGTTGCTGAGGGGCCCCCAGGCTGCGTACCATCCAGCACTCGCCCTGGAGGCCCACGGCGACCCTCCATGCCCTAGGCAACATAGTAGGTAGATAGGTTTTATTTTACTTACCTTTTTTTTTTTTTTTGTGTTGTCTTATTTTTGTCTGTTCAGGGGCCGTTTCGGACTGGCAGCCCCAAGGTCGGACCTTGGGACTGGGTACACCGGAGGCAGGCCCAAAACGAGGTCAGGCGCATTTTGGCGCCAAACCGGTAGGTACAGGCGTCGTTTCAGTCCTGCAGGACCCAAGACGACACCTTGGGCCAGGTGCACCGGTAGGAGGCCGTTTTTAGGCCAGGCGCATTTCTGCGCCATGCTGCATCAGCAGCAGGGTCTGGACGTCCGGTAGGGACCCAGACCAGCTGGGCCGTTCTAGGCCACACAACAGGCTACCCAGTAGGGCCCAGCGCAGTATACAGCTGCGCCTCACGCTGGGTACCGGGGACAGTTCGAGTAACTCACTTCTAGGCGACATGCTGCTGGTTAGGACAGCGCTATACTGCGCTGGGCTGCGGAGTAGAGAGGAGAGGCATAGAGGACATAGGGTGTGGCGGAGGCCATACCTGCAGTCCGCGAGCTGACCTGGCGCCATAGCTGGGCTCCATGCGGTACCTGCACATGACGACGACCACAGTTAGTACGGTGGCAGCGGTCTGCTGGTGAGATAGTGAGGAGGACTTCATCTCTTCTCTCCCTCCTCCATCTCTCTCTCTCTCTCTCTCTCTCTCTCTCTCTCTCTCTCTCTCTCTCTATCTCTCTCTGAGCTTTGGCAAGGTTTGCCAAACTGTCCGAGAGTCACTGGAAAACGTGGACTGTGGAAACATTTTGAAGGATACTAGGGAAAACATAAAATTTCTGGTCCATGTACACTAATTAGAATGGATAAGAATAGGGATATAGGAAAGGACAGCCGCGATGGGTGGAACAAAATTGGGACTAAAAGGTATACCGGGTAAGGGCAAGGACGCAACCGGGTGATAGTGAGTGGGCCCGAATCGTGTGGGTGTGGTAGGGTAGAATAGGAATAAGTAGGAAAGCAGTACGCCTGCGACGCTTCTGTCACGCGGGAATTAAAAAAAAACTATGCCGTGTCCAGAGAACGGATCACGGGTCTAAGTATGGGTCTGTCACGCGAATGAGGGAAGACCGCCGGTGAAGGAAGCGGGAAGGGAACGACGCACAGGAAAACATAGTAAGGACCGAGAAAGGAGGAGAAGTAGTGGAAGGAGAAG